GCCCTCCACCTCTAAATTCCCAAGTTTATTTATTTATTTATGAGAAGTGACGAAGGAGTCAGGTCAGCAACAGTGAAGGAAAGGAGACAGTGAAGAAGCCTTACCAACATGGATGGGGGGAGTGGTGGTGAAGAACATGGGTGACTTCTTCCCAGATGCTTCAAAGTTTTGAAAACTTTCTAGGGGAAAGCGTAGCATCTAACCTCTAAAACTTAACATTCATGTATTTCTTAACTGATTTCATCAACAATTAACTCAAATTCTATACATTTAAGACATCAAAATTGAAAGCTCCATTCTGATGCATTCACCACTAAAAATGCACCTTTAAATGTATACCAACTCATGGAAGGGTAGGCAAAACTCACATGATGAAGTATTACCCAGCCATAAAAAGGAGCCAAGTGTGAAACCTGCTACCCCACAGATGAACTAAAAGAAACTAGCAACAAAGTACAGGCATGCACACACACATGCACGCATGTGTTTTATGGTTCCTTTAATATGAAATGTCCAGGAGATGTAAGCCCACAGAGATAAAAAGTGTCAAGGGCTCAGGGAGGGGGAGTGAGGGATGACAGGTTACAGTACTAGAATAGATTCCTTTTGGGAAAACAGAAATGTTCTAAAATTAATTGTGCTAAGAAGTTACCTAACTATGTATATATTAAAATCAGTTGACTTCCACACTTTAAAAGAACAAACTATGGGGCTGGGCTGCAGAGATGGCTCAGCAGTTAAGAGCACTGGTTGCTGCTGCAGAGGACCAAGGTTTGGTTCCCAGCATCCATATAGCAGCTAACAATTATCTGTAACTCCAGTTCCAGTGGATCTGATGCCCTCTTCTGGCCTCCTTCAGGCACTGCATGACACGAATGCCCTTACATACATGTAGGTAAATCATTTATACACATAAAATAAAAATAAAGAGCAAACTTCATAGTGTGTGAATTACATCTTAGTAATGTAATTTTAAAAAAAGACTTTATAGACATACGCCAAGGATCCAAGTGCAACCAATTATGACTAGTAATAGATACATACAGATTAGAGATGTATGCACCAACATCTCAGTATTAGTAGCAAAAACAATGAGTCTTTCTGCAAGGAACAATATATTCTAATATGAAATGGAGATCTTTTTTACAGGGTAAAAACTCATTCAATTTTATGTCTTACAGAGCTTATACTGAGTTCAATATTGTATAACTATTAATTCAAATGTGAACCTAGAAACTTATAGTCACCGGTGAAAGAGATGTACTCTTGCTCTGGAGTGTGTTACTGAATATGTTAAAGCTGTAATGAAATGTTTCTTCTAATCATGCAGTTATTAAAAAAAATTTTTTAAACTAATTTAAAAAAAAAAAGAAATTTTCCTTGCAGATCCAGTACATTTTAGAGAGAGGACCTTCATTATCAATCAGGTCGAAAGCATGTATAGGCAACAGAAGATTTTTCCCTATGTGACACCTTCCATTTCATTACAGAAATAAGTCCCAGGCTCAAAAAAGTCACATATTCTAAAACCTGGGAGTTTGCATAAGTGATACTCTTTACTGTGATGGCATTAACACTTGAGGTCAATCTCTGGCATGAAGCTGAAGGTTTTCTGTTGGTTCTGCCCTGGGTTCCACTAGACATTCTCTCTTCACACTCTTTCTTGACCCACATTTACTTATGAACCTCAGAACCACCCATCTTCATTCTCTCTGGGTGTTTCGGGGGGACAGTTGGTGACCTTGCTAACTCTCCCCCCGACTGCCACAGAGCGACCACTGTTGGCTTATTCATCCCACAAAAGGCAAAGAGCACTTTGTGGGTAGGAAGCATTACTCATATTTGAACCCCAAGGCCTTGCATGCAAAGGCCAAAGCCTCGACTCCAGAACCAGCAGCTGCTCATGCGCCTAAAGAATGTTTCAGTAGAGCTGGGCATGCTGGCTCCAACCTACAATACCGGATACCGGAGGCTGAGGCAGGGGGATTACCACAAGTCTGAGGCTAGCATAGGCTACAAAGTGAGACCTTGTTTCAAAAAACCCAGAAACATCTCAATGGGGAGAACTACAAATATCAGTGAGGGCAAAGATCTAAATTAAACTTTAAGGGCTTCTACGAAAACATGAGTGCTAATAAAGAGCAGGACAGTATCCTTGGTGAGGTTGACTGAGCCATGTTCCTATATCAGAATGCTGCACTTGTGTAGCAATGTGCAGACATTCACTATGCAGCTGAAGGGAGTATCTACCATGCAGTCCCAGTCTACAAGGGACAAAGTCTACCTCTACCAGGCTCCTTCAGATGACGTGCAAGTGTCCAAGAGGTTCTCAAAGGAACAACAGGTCTAAGACTAATGATCTTCCAGCACCAAGTGGACAGCGTGGAGCAGTGATAAGGTCAGGGAACGAGTCTGTCTGTCCTTATTGATGGTGTAGCGGGACAAAGTTGCTGCATGACAGATTAAGGCACAAGACACCTGTGCAGAGGAGGAACTAACTCTCAATTCCTAGAGGAGACATGAAAATTAAATAAAAGCACAAGGAAACAGCCACAAGATAAAACTAGTACCCTGTGTCCTTCTGCTCCAAGTTTGTGTCCCCAGAGCTTCACATCTGTGGCTACTGATAAGTTAAGGAAGATGCATACCTTGCTCACTGCCATGGAAAGACAAGCTTGCTGGGAACTCCTTACAGGGCTCTGATGACAACCAAAGTATGAGTCTACAAAAGTCTGACTTGGGGAACCAATTTGCTTACTGGGCTTACATACAGAGCACGGGAGAGTGATTACTTACAGGAGTTTGGGTGACCCCCAAACAGCCACACTATGGCAAAGTCTCAATCCAGAACTGATGATGACTTCCCCATAGCTGCATAGATGGAATTCCACCTTCTTCCCTTAACCTCCCACAATCTACACATTCTAACACCTCCCAAAGACCCTAAGGCCACCTGCAATTAGGGCAGAATTATATATAGCCAACTGGGAGGTATAGAAGAGTGACAGAGATCAGATGGGGGTCCAGAGACCCTCCCCTTCTATGAGAGACTGTCAACTTGGGTCAGCAAGGCCCATCTCAGGGGTCTCCTGCAAGTAGCCACAGCTATTCCAATGAAGGTGACAGCTGTTATGGTGTAAGGATAGCATTCTACAGCAGCCAGTTGATCAATAAGAATTGAAGCACACAGATTCAAAGCTAAAGCTTCTTAATGCTCTGTACTGACCCCAACACCCAGGGATATGCACACCAGCATCTGGGGAAGAAAATAACTGGTCTGGACCAGAAGCCCCAGGGCACACACAACAAGCTGGCAAATTCTGAATGTGGCACAAAAGAGGACACCCAAGCTGACCAGTCAACTTGCAGTCAAAAGTGCGCGCATTCTCGTCACGTGTTTAGGCTGGGTTCAAAGCCTCTAAATCTAGAGCAGCTAGCTTCAAAGCAGTAAGATCGTGATAGAAATACTCTACACCAGCACTGTTCTGACACTTAGCATGTACCTGCAGGAGTAAAATGAGGCATGGGGGACTTATGGGCTCATCCCAAACACAGGATACACAGAGGAACCAGGGTTAAAATCTAGCCTTCTGCTTCCTGGTCTCTCCCAGCACTAAGACTTCTCCTCCCAAGAACCTATCCTAGCACTGGCCTCACTACCTCAACCTCAGGAACCTTCCAGAAAAGTCACATGAATGAATTCCATCTTCTCAGTGACCTACCCTGAGAGAGGCAGAAACAATGCCAACCTAACTGTAAAGACAGAGGAGTCAGGAACTACACGCCTCCATGTGCCACTGGGGAAAGAGGGAGGGGAGGGGGAAGAGATGGAGATGCAGGGGTTGCGGGGGGAAGAGGTGAAAGAGAGAGAACATGAGAGGAAGTCAGTGAGTGTATACATATGCACAGGTACATCTGAGTACATATGTGTGCACTCATGTGTACATGTACCAGTGCACATGTGTGTGCATATACACCTAAGTATGTATATAACATGGATTTTTAAGTGTATATGATACAAAAAGCTACAAGCTTCAGAAAGGACAAGTGAACTGTCCAAGGTCACAGAGTCTGTGGGACTGTGGGAGGCAGTACTAGAGTCCTGTCCCAATATCCAAGGCCACGCTCTGATTCCTCAAATACCCTGACTGCACCTCAGTGAAAACCACCAGACTCTTAGTGGTTCCTATACCTCTTCTGCCAGGTTTCAAGACAAAGCACAGTGGCACACCCAATTTCTGAAGTCTCATTTTGTGCTGTCCACAGTACAAAACACCATGCAATTAAAACAGCCACACAGGCCCAGGTGTGGCTCCTTTATGATCTTAAGGAGGCTCAAATCATTCTCTGATGTGTCTGTCCACCTCTCTGACTTACTATAGAACTTGTAAAAACGAACATTCGCTCCTTGCGCTGCGTGATCAACCACCACAGAACCAGCCAGACACAGCTATCGTGAATAGTAAAAGCAGCTTGGATTGGCACCTCACTTTTTAAACAAAAGTGCTTCCCAGACTCTGTCGGTGTTTACAATAAAAACACATTCATGTGACAGCAGTGGTCATGAACACGCACCGCACTCACAAGGCCTACCAAACATTGCTCCTTGTACAATGACCTAATCCAATCCAATCATCCAACTTAATCCCCCAACAACACTTACAGGCAGCTATTATTATCCCTGTCACTAGTAATTCTTTGAAATGCCACTCACCAAACTTTTGCTTCACTTCTAGTCTGCAGATTTTTCCTCTGTAGACTTTCTCCAATACTAAAAAAATTTGCAGAGAATGCAATTTGTTCAATCTGATCTCTTTTTCAACATATCAGAGACTCTTGCTGCGAAAGAGGCTGAGGGGGGTGAAAGCTCTGCAAGGCTAGAGGCACAGGAGAGGGGCCCCTCTGTTCTGGGTGGGGTACTGACACCCCTGCCAACAGGGTCACCTCCATGGGCATGAACTGAAGAAGCAAGGGGCGGCCGCTCCGGGCTTGCTACTTACCAGCTCTGTGTGAACTTTAAGGTGGGCCTGCAGCTTATATTTATCTGGAGTCGAGTAGTCACAGCCGTCAGTGGGACACTTCAGCAAGATGTTACTGTGTTTCTGAATTACATGGCGTTTAAGGCAGTTTTTGGTGATGGAAGAATAGTGACACTGGGAGCAATAATACAGGTGTTCCCGGGTGTGGGTGCGGACATGCATGTCAAAGTGCACTTGGTACCAAAAAAGTTTGCCTAAAAAAATATTTTCACATGAGAACAAGGAAGTTTCTTTTATACTGAATTTGATTTTTTTAAATTATCGTTATTGTTTAAACTATCATATTTATCTCCCTTATGTGCTGTCCAGGATGCCCTTCATTTCTGCCTGGAAATTACTTTTCAAAGTGGCAGTTTTCAAATATTAAGGGTAACACCATCTTTCACGTGGTGTTAGGACTAGAGAAGGAAGGAGACGCTTACGAGGGCCAATTATACCAAATGCTAACCTGTGGATGCACAGATCCAAGAGCCTCCAAGTTCTGATACTCCTGGGGCCTAAGACGGGTCTGGGATGCCCACTTCCTGTACTGCCTGCTCTCTGGGAGATCCAGGAGCTGAGCTCTCCCTGCCAGCTGCTTGGGCCTCTCTGCTAACAGCTGCAGCCTCTCTCCTGCCCTCTCTACCCAGCTGAAATCTGGCCACAACTGGAAGCCAGAAAAAAGATTCTTCTTGGTCAGGAGCTGGTGGAAGTTATGAGCAACCCTCAGCATGGCCCCAACATGACCAGCTGTGCATCACCCCAGCTGACCCCACAAAGACTCCAACTGTGGCCTGTGACACGGGGCTTGCTGTCCCTATCTACCATGGAGGAGGTGGCTCGTTTTGGAGGTGTGCTTTGCAGAGACATAAGCTCAAGTGGAACCCGCGGTGATGAGAGCATGATGGGAATGGACAGGGCAGCTGGGAAGGAGCGCTCCACACAGCACACCTGGTCACTGAGGCCTTTCCTTACCACAGTATTCACACTCCAGGTCTCCGTAAACTTTCCGGATCCTCTCACACAGACCGGTGTTCATTTGCTTCTTCTGAAGACTGTCCAGCACCCTCATGAATGCCGTGCTGCCAGGCCGGTGTTCAGAGGAGGATTTGCAAGAGTCAGGCTGGCACACACCAACGTCCCCTCTATCAGCCATCATAGGGAGGAGGTCCGAGGCCTCGGCTGGGTTTGGCCTAAGACACCTGCTAGGGTCAGATTCTCTGACTGGCAGGGTAACTACATCCTGCCCTTTACCGTCAGGGCTCTGGCTACTCTGGGTCTCCTGGTTTGGTCCAGCACTGCTGGCCTTGGACAGCAGCAGTGAGACTTCTTCACCCTGAGTGGGAGCTGAGCCTTCATGCGGAGTGTCCAAGGTTGTCTTGGCAACAGCATGAGCCTCAGCAGAGGAGGTATTGTTTTTCAATAAAAAAACATCTGAAACCACTGCAAGAGAGTTCAGGTCTGAGGAGACCACAGTGGTTTCCAGCTTACAGCGGGGTAGGGCAGCACTTTCAGTCTGGGAGGTGGCCAAGGGCACGGCCGGAGCAAGCACCTCTCCAGGGGCCTCCAGCTCCCTCGACCCTGCCCCGGGCTGAGCATCCTCAGGACAGGCCTCCTCCTTGAGCACGTCCATATCCGGGCACACAAACTCCTCTGCTGCCAGCTGCAGCTGGTCCCCCAAGGCTTCCTGCTGGATGTCCCCACCAGGCTCCAGGAGGCAGAAGCTCTGGTTGATGGAGCTGGTAAAGACTGAGGTCTCCTGGGCCGTCCCATGCACCTCTCGGATGTGGGAGCGCAGCCTGATGGAGCTGACAAACTTCTTGAGGCATACGGCACAGACGTACACAAAGGGGTGCTTCCTGACGTGCACCTCCAGAGCCTGGTACTTGGTGGCCCCGTGGCCACAGAGCTCACAGGCGAAGGGCCATTTGTCCCCATGGACCAGCATGTGGCGGTCCCGGTCTAGCTCGTTCTTGAACTTGCGCTCACAGATGTGGCAGTGATACAGCAGCTGCCGCTTGCCCTCCCTCGTCATCAGGCGGAGCTCATCCAGGGCTTCTTTGACCTTCTTGTCCTGTGGGTCGTGAGTGTCCCGAATGTGCTTGATGAGGTTCTTGACGTCGGAGTACTTCTTCCTGCAGAAGCGGCAGTGCTGCTTGATCTTTTTGTGCACGCGCTCGACATGCACCTTGAGGTGGCCCTTGCTGAGGCAGGTGAAGGCGCAGCAGTCGCAGGCGAACTTCTCCCCTGTGTGCTTGCGCAGGTGCACATTGAGGTTGGCCTTAATGGCGCTGGCATAGCTGCACTGCGGGCACTTGTAGGGCTTCTCATTGGTGTGGATTCTCAGGTGGGCCTGCAGCGAGTGCTTGAACTTAAAGACTTTGTTGCAGTATTCACAAGTGAAGATTTTCAGCTGGGTGGGAGCTAACCTAGAGACAGATGACAAGACCGTTAACTGTCGGAGACTTCGAAACCTCCCAATGAGCCAAACACCAAAGGCTATGCAGGGAGCTACAGAGAGCAGGGGGAAGATGAAAAACATTAATTCACTCAACAGACAAGCCTGGAGGAGAGGATGGGGTAGGCACAGACAGTGATGTCTCATGACAGCATGGCAGCACGTGTGTAAGAAAAAATAGAAAGAAACCTCCACCATAGATTAAGGTTGCTGTGGAAAACTTGCTGAAGAAACATCTGTGTCAAGGTTTAAAGAATGAGAAAGAAGGTGGCAGGGGAAAGGAAGGACAAGAGGTGTCACTCATGGAGGCATGCTCCAGAGCTGATCTTTGCTCACTCAGGGATACCTGAGCAGAAGCAAATCAGTCTTCTTGACACTAAACTCGATTTACTTAGTCAACAAATTTGATGATCCACACCTGCATATTCATCCAACTATTAGGGTGACTCCTTGCAAGCATCCATGGGAGGACCACTCATTAGAGAAAGACCCTTGGCCTTTCTCCATGTCCTCCTTCTCCTCAAGAAAAGAGAGCACACATGGCTGACTGATGAGTCTGGAACAGGACCTAGAGTTCACTAGCTGGCAGGGATGTGCCTGCCTGTGGTGAGGAAGAGCTTAGCTTGGGAGGCGTCTGAGAACCCAGCCAGCAGTAATCTAGGTCTACAGGAGAGATAGGCAGGCTCCTGGGTGATCTGAACCACATTCCTCTCTTCCATACTTGTAACAACACAGTTCTGACTCTCCTTTTTCATCACGGCTGGGCTAGAGCTCAGACGGGGAAAACAGCACTGTCCTTTATTTACCTTACACACCATCTAAATAAAAACTTTCTGTTGATCAAACCAGCCAGCATGTTGCAGGCATGTGTTTGATTTTGCATATATGGTGGCAAATAAAGGCATGCCAGCCTCACAGAGCCTGTCTCTTCCAATGTGGCAAGGTATCCTGAATGAGACAGTGGTGGTTATGATAGCTTGCAATTAGTGAGTACTTATAACAAATTCTATGCCAACTAGTTAATCCCAACCTATTATCATATTTATACATTAAGAAAACTGAGCATCTTCCCAGCATCACACAAGTGATGGATTTGACTCCAAAGAGGTTACAGCTCTGGAGTAGGCTTATCCTTCCTCATCCTCATTCCTGCATGAAATGTGGTGCCTAGCAGCCCCACCCCAGTGTGACTGTGCTCTTGGAGAAGGCGTTCTGGGTGGGGCTTCCACTACTGACAAAACAGTGGTCACTAAAGTGTATCACCACACACCAGGAATAAGAATCAGTGGAGGAGATCAAAGAAGGAAGTGAGATTTCATCTCTGGCCATTTACTGCTCCCTCTGGACAGTATCTCTAGGCTTAGAAGAAGGATGTATGGCATACTTATAACATGTAAGGCTATTAATTAGTACCATTAAACTGTGCCTAATACAACTATAGTCTAAATTTATGAGACTATCCATACAACTGTGTCTTTAAATTAAAAATATGAAGTGGACTGCAGTCTACAAATACCAGAGGGTACAACTCACATGATATAATTAAAATATTCAAATTTGAAAGTGACTAGTATGCCTGCATGCTAAGCCCAAGGCTTATTTAAGGAAACTAATTTGGACCTTTCCCAAATGACAAAGCTATCCAGAAGGTGACACACTTTATGGGCACAGAGAACACTGAAGAAAGAAGCCCTGGGTTCCTAACATTAATTAAATAACCAAGCCACAGCATTTCCTCCTCTGTTGCGAGCTCTAAGTGGTCTTAGGAGAATCTTTTGCTCTTTGTTTTGTATTAGAGACAAACATCTAGCAGAGTCCTGAGTGACTGTTTCTGGGGAGGGTAGTGAATGTGGTGACAATGAAAAGCTGGCTACATCCGACTCAGCTAAAACCACTAATGGTGATGGTGAACCTGTGCACAGAGTTGCACGGCCCACTGCATTATTTCACTGCAAGCTTCCTATTTGGTGAGAGAGGGACTGCTGAAGAACATTCAGCGGTCAGGTACCCTACTACAGTCATGGCAGCTCTGGAGAGCTGTCTGAAAGAAACAAGAGGAAAGCCAGTTAGACGTGTTCAGTGCCCGTTCTGCACAGGCGTTAAGGACAACAAGCTGCCTGGAGGCACTCACGGAGACAACTACTTTGCATAGTTCTTGTTTACATTCATTCACTCATAAAAGGGTTGGAGGCACTGGACAATAGAAAAGAGAATAAAGACAAACTCAACCCTTCCACGTAGAGCTAACCCTCCTAACTATGAAATCAACAGGTGAGAACCATCAGCTCCCAGCTGGGAAGGAAAAGGCAGGACGCTCTAGAGCCCAGTTTAGGACAGATGACATAGTCAAAGAAACAGCAAAGGCCTCTGTGAGAAGAGGTCAAGTAGGTACAGAGCTGGATCAGAGCAGGCACAGAATACACCAAGAGGAGGAAGGCATCCTGGAAGAGAAAAGACATCCGTAAGGAGAAGGCAAGGAAAAGGGGTCAGGGCTGAACTGACTAACGGCTGCAAAGAGTACCAGGGGGATCTGTAGAGACAAGGCTCGGAGGGGGCTGGGGTCAGCCTCAGAAGACCCCAGGCTCTCCTGAGAGGGAGGCAAACCCTTCAGGGGTAACATCAAGAGAGCATGTTAAATATATCTAACTGGCCCCATATCTAGGGTTGAGTAGATTACACTATATCATAAAATGACAGCATGTCCCTATGAAGAAGAGGCTTGTGATAAATCTGAGTAATGTCTGAAGTGTTCAAGTTTTAAAAACAGATTCAAGGAATATTAGCTCAGTGGTAATACACTTGCTTAGAGTATACAAAGTTCTAGATTCAATTCCCTGTCCCACAAAGAAGCAAAACAAATTAAAATGAAAATAAGATATAAAATCATATAAACTATAAATTCAGTTTCATAAAATTAACGTACTGATTTTAAAAAGCCAGAAAGAAATACTTTCTGGACTTGCAAGTTTTTCTATATAAGTTGGTATCATACTTGTGAGAGAATGAAACCATATAACTGAAAATTATTCATCTGTGTTCTACAAAGCAAAATCTGCATGCAAAAATAAGATGTCTCAGAAAATAAAAAGAGGGACCAGGGACACAGCTCAGAGGCAGGGCACTTCCCTCATGTGACAGGTCCCAGGTTCAATCACATCTTCAATGAGAGGGAGGGATGGGACATTTTAGGTGTCAATACAAGAAAACTTCAGAGTGATGGAAATATTTGTTCTCTTGAAAGTGGTAATCTATCTAATTTAAAGCTTATCAAGTTATACACTTTATGTACATCAGTTATTCCTCAATAAAGCTATTTAAAACACTCATATATATTTGATTATTTTGTGATTTACACAATAAACATTAACAGAGTACATGACAATAGGAATATAGCCTGCATCTGCTGATTTATTTTTCAGTATATTGACCTATAATTACATTAGCATTTAGTTGAATCTTCCCCAGCAGACCTTGAAATACAGTGAATATAATTAGTTAAGGTGTACAAATCATCCTGAGAGAAAAAATGATCATGATATTTAATTCTATTATAGGTTTATCAAAAAAAAAAGGATTTTTTTTTTAAACAACTTCATCACTTAACTCAGTTGTTCACATTTTCAGGAGCAGAGGACTGAGGCCCCAAGCTGAAGACACAACCACACAGCACACCAGTGCAATGTGTGCAGCATGTGCCCGACACCATGCACAAATGTCATCCATTCTCACTAATAACTGTGATTCTATTAGACAGTCTTAGCTAGGGCAACAGAGAATGTGCGCATTAAGGTACAGCTGTGTGAGCCACAATGGAGAAGAGGCTGGGTCTGAGTCTCTGTCAATCCCCACACCCAGCACATAACAGGTGCCTGGTTCGTCAAGCTGAACTCAGAAGAGTCTAGAGCCTACTCAGGTTCCTTTGTTTCTAAAGCTCATGCTTTACTCAAAAATGCCTCATATCCCCCGGGTGCAACCAGCAGCACCCGGCATCTGTCATTCAGCTGGAAAAAAATACATCCAGACCCTATTCATTCATGTGTTCACTGATTTCAATAGAGCCAGATCTAGCTAAGACACCTGAAAGGGGTGTGGACAAATGACCTGATCCACATACGAGGAGGGGAGGTCTTAAACTGTGCTGGATAGCTTTAGTGTCAATGACACACCTGGGCTGAGGGAGCCTCAAATGGGTAATTGCCTCCATAGGACTGGCCTGTGGCCATGTCTGTGGGGCATCTTCTTGATTGTTGAATGATGTGGGAGGGCCCAGCCCACTGTGGGTGGTGCCACCCCTGGGCAGGTGGACCTGTGTTGCATAAGAAAGCAGGCTGAGCAGGGACCAGGGGAGCAAGTCAGTAAGCAGCATTCCTCCACAGCCTGTGCTCCAGCTCCTACCTCCAGGTCCCTGCCCTGAATTCCTACCTTGGGCTCCCGGATGAACTGTGACCCAGGAGATGTAAGCTGAATAAACCTCTTCCTCCCCAAGTTACTAGTGGTCAGAGTGTTTTGTCACAGCAATGGAGAAACAAACTAGGACAGGACTCATTCTTTGATGCAACAATTTCACTTCAAGAAATTTATCCTTCAAGAAGTCTTGAAGGAGAATGGTAAAATGAAGGTTCAAAAACATTCATCACTTCATTGCCCATCATAGCAAACCTGGGCATGGTGGTACATTCCTGTAATCCCACCACACAGGAGCCTGAAGCATGATAATTGTGAGTTTAAGGCCAACCTGTGGTACATACTTTATAAAATTAACAGGTATTCAAACCACAATAGAGACATAATAACAAGATAAATGTTTTTAATGTGTAGTAAAAATGAAAGACTTTCAAGGTACAGTAAGTTTTTTTAAAAGTTGAAAACAGTACACTTAGTATTTTGTGTTTTGAAAAAACCCAAAACTAAAGTCACACACACACACACACACACACAAATATCACAATCTGGCAGAAGACACTGAAAAGGCTAAGGAGTTACTCTCAGCCTTAGAGCGTGAGAGAATAAAAAGGAGATTCTAACTTGTGTAAAGTTAGGGGACCAGGAGTCTAAGGACCCGGGATAAAAGATAGTAGTGAAAAAAGAAACAACCTAGAAATAAAAGTAGCTAAAGTTGCCCCACAGATCCAACCTTTGATACACCAAAAAAAAAAAAAGGACTGTAGCAGGGAGAAAATACTCCACACTGGAGCTGTTGAAACTAGAAAACACAAGCAATCACAGAGCCCCTTAGCATGTGGCTCATGAGGGTATGGGACACAGGAGCAAATAATGTTAGTCTAACTCCTTCAGAACAGTCACAGCTGAGTTATATAACCATCCATCTGTCCTTGCAACATAGGTTGTTCAACCTAGGCCAATGCAGGGGGGAGCAGTCCCTAATGGGATGGCTGATGCAAAGCATTAAAGATACATGGTCATCACTAAGGGAAACTCCCATGATTAACAGAGGCTGGAGGACTATAAAGGAGGGACAGGCATTACTGAGAGATGAAGGTATGAGAAAGCAATACATAATGCCCAGTTCGCTGGGCCAGATAAGGCTGTGTTCACCAGAGATATAAAGGAAAGCTTAATTCAACTGGGACCTCAAGAATGGCATAGAGCTTTAACAGTTTTGCTAAGTCCTTTAATGGGACAGGATCTTTGTAAAGTGAGAGAAGCTTTAACAGATCTAAGTGACTCAGACCAGCATGTAAAATGTATCTGTAGAATAACAGAGCAACTTCCAAGAGATATATAAAGGACCAGACAGAAGGAATGGTCTGTTTGGGTTACTTGAAGCCAAATGTGGTAAGATTTATGTCAAGCCCAAATCTCCAAAGAAAAAATTGATAGAAAACCAAATTTGGCACTAAGGAGTTTCTGGAAGACTTTAAAACCTGATGAACAGTTCACAAAAGGCATTCAGAGGATGAAAATGGTCCCGGGGAAGTTAAGGATCCCCCAAAATTAAATACGATACATTTCTCTCCTGAGAAAGGCTATGCTAGGGATGGAGGCAGTTTTTCCCACCAGGGCCTCCCCCACCAGCCAGGTACGCTCAATGGCAAGGTGGCAGATATAGCTACAGTCAGGAGGCAGACCCAAGACCTACTTGACTCAGGGAACCAACAGGTCCAGAAGGGACAAGAGAGACCCTCTGCCTCCTTAGCCCAGTGCAGGGTCAGGCAACTAGAGCCAACACCTGTAAGTGTATCAAGGATAAAAGAATACAAACAGACTCCATGTAAGATCCCAGAATGCAGAATGACTCAAAAGGGGTAACTAAAGATGAACCAAGTTAATGCCTCTTACCCATGTTATGGTACCTAACAAAGATTTATGCAGAAAGCAATTAATACAAATGGGTAAAACCTTTCCATGCTGTTAGACCTTGTCTATGATTGATTTAATATATGATGTTAACCTTTGAATGTTTTACAGATGTGAAACGTATTTGAAAGATACCTGAAGAAACGAAGGCCAGCTATAGCTGTAAGAGTCTTGAGAGTTTTGTGGTTGGGTAAGATAAAAACAGAGGCTCCCAAAACTGTATAACTGTTAAGAAAAACTACAGTACCAAGGGTGGGCTACCCTCCTATAAGCTGTTGGTCAGAGAGAGATCCTAGAGGTCCTCAAATTTACCAAGGCTATTGCCACTAATGTCAGTTGTATACTAGAAAGGTCAGTAAGGCCATGTTGCTGAAGACATTGACTGATGGGAGTGCAGGAGAAGAAGAGACAGAGCTAAAAACTCCATGCCACTGGATGGAAGGCTTTCATAGTGCCAAAAGGTGCTATGTAGATGGCTGGGGAAAAAGGATCCCCTATGATTCTGCTCACCAATGGACCCTGCATGCTGCACACTATGGACATGCCAAGCAGTGCCTGCTAGTGCAATAATGGCTCAACTAACGTAAGTACAACTGAAAAATCTCTACTTGGATAAGGCCTACTCCTAGGGGTGGAACACACATCTGGTGCTGTAGACCAGGCCAACCCCATGTCAGGGAAGACTAGAGGCCCCAGTGAGGAAGCTGTTAGAAGTATACTGCTTAATGAATATGGTACACGTACTGCGATATCTTCTAGGCATTTGTATTTACATTCCTTTGTTTAGATGTGTCTACTTTCTTCCATTTGTCTTTATAGGAGGGGAAACACCACTGAAATGGATCAGCAGCTGCGTCTTGAAGATGACTGATGGGGAGGCCCAAGAGGTCAATATCTCACCACGATACAAGAGCGATCACCCTGCATCTTCTACCCCCTCCAAGGCTCAGGGAAATTCATGGAAGAGGTGGCAGAAAGTTTCTAAGAGCCGGAGGAAAGGGGTGAAGTGTGGCCCAGAAATTCCTCATTCCTCCGAAAAGTGTAGGTGATGCAGGGAACTCTGGGAAAAGGAGTGGGGCTGCAGCCATATCGGAACTCTGGGTGAAGCCTGCAGCCAGCCAGGGAGTGCTCCGCAGGATGAGATGAGGCACTCAAGACCATGGGGTAAGACGACATGTGGGAGCAGTATGCAAAAGCTGATGGAGACTACAGGCAGGGCTTGAAAGGCACGTGGGTTATGAGAAGCCATTTCTCTGTAAGTCATCCCTCCCAAATGTCATAAACTATGCAAATTTTAAATAGGGTGTCTTATTTCAGTTTGTTAATTGGAGTCAGGACTGGTAGACCCTATAGTTGTCAGAGGGCGTGCCTGCCCATGGGTCTCCCAAGAAGAGAGAGAAATGGGAAAACTTTAGTGAAACAATATTCTATAAAAACAACAGCCATTGGGGACTGGAGAGATGGCTCAGTGGTTAAGAGTACTGACTGCTCTTACAAGGGACCTGAGTTCAGTTCCCAGAACCCACATGGCAGCTACAAACCATCCTTAACTCCAGTTCCAGGGGAATCCGAAACCCTCTCTGGCCTCCGCAGCATTGCACAACATGAGTGCACTTACTTACATGCAGGCAATACACTCATACACATAGCCTCTGCAGCATTGCACAACATGAGTGCACTTACATGCAGGCAATACACTCATACACATGAAATAAAAATAATAAGCAAAATATTTTTAAAAAATAAATAAATAACAGCTATTTAAACCACAATAGAGACATAATAACAGGATAAATGTCTTTAATATGTAGTAAAAATGAAAGATTTTTCAAGCTATGGTAAGTTTTTTAAAAGTTGAAAACAGTACACTTAGTATTTTGTGTTTTGAAAAAATCCAAAACAATGCCCCCCCACACACACACACAATCACAAAAAACAAAAGTATAAGCAGCCAACTAGCAACACTGCACTCCAGAAGGAACCGGTTCCAGTAGATCTTGGTGTGTGGGGTATTTGAACTTTTTACAGCCCATGTGGCTTTTGAAAGAGTAAAGACTTTATTATAATATGTTCTGTGTGGTATAAAAACCAGGCCATGTTAGCCGGCGTGGGGGCACATATCTTTAATCCCAACACTCGGAGGCAGAGGCTGGTGGATCTCTGTGAGACTGAGGCCAGCCTAGTCTACATAGCAAGTTCCAGGCAATCTGGGGGTATATGTAGGCCCTATATCAACAAATAGAAAAAGAAAAGAAACCAGGCTATGCTTACATCTCTTTTTATAAAGTTTAAGCATACATTTGCTTAAAGTAAAAGGCTCTGCCCTCATGAAGACAAGTGCATGCTGGGTTCTAAGGCCCACTGCTCTGTCTTGGCCTCAAAGGGAAGAACTGTTCTAGGGTCATGATGGAGGGGTGATTCTTCAGTCATGTCAGAGAATTGATAGCATTTACAAACAAGGTTGTGAACAAACTTCAGACCAACAAACATGCTGATTCTGCCTTGCCCCGGGGAGCTCCCTGCAGCCTGCCTCTGGCTGGGGCCCACAGAAAACTCACCTGCTTGACTTCATGGGCTGCTCATATGGGGTCTGCTGAATGGAGTATTCTTGGTAGCCTCTTCGTGGCACCAGGTCTGCTGTGGTGGTCTCAGGATGGGCTGCTCCTGTTTCGGGAGGCCCGGCCTCCACTGGAATAATTTTGGTAGCCCCTGAGATGGACATACAATGTACTTCTTACTGAGAGGAGCTGGCAATGGCCCTGACTGTGTCCAGCAATGGCAGCCAGGCCTGAAGTGTGTTTTACTGTAGGACTTCCATGCAACACACTGGATTCCCTTCAGCTCACACATTTAACTCTGTGTGTGTGTGTGTGTGTGTGTGTGTGTGTGTCTGTGTGTCTGTGTGTGTCTGTGTGTGTAGGGGAAGGTGCAAATTTTCTAGTAATATGCCCAAATGTCCTCTTGAAGAACATCTTTCACTGGATCTAATTATATGTGTGTGTGTGTGTGTGTGTGTGTCTGTGTGTGTAGGGGAAGGTGCAAATTTTCTAGTAATATGCCCAAATGTCCTCTTGAAGAACATCTTTCACTGGATCTAATTATAAAACATTTGCATATACATTCAGTACTTCCAGGAATTTGTAGAAAGCTTTAAAGTTGAAGTAAATACAAAGCTGCATTGAGGCAGTATGGAGGGGTAGGACAGTGAACAGGAAGTATGCACCTGAGGCCAGTCCCAATGGCTCTGCTCCCCCCATAAAACAGAGGATTTAGAGAGGAAAACTGCAGTCACCTTTGCCTCTACAATTTGTAACATGAAATGACCCAGAGCAGGGACACCTTGTGTGTGTGTGCATGCATGCGTGCGTGTGCATGTCTGTGCGTGTCTGTGTATCTGTGCATATTTTAAAGAACAGGCTGTCTGCTACCCCTTATTTCTAGAACACCAAAGAAATTAGGTTACACTTTCACCCTCCCAGAAATCTCAAAATATTACCAAAATTGTTTTTGTTTTGTTTTGTTGGTTTGCTTTTTGAGTCAGGGTCTCCCTGTAGCCCCAGCTAGCCTCGAACTTGTTATACAGACCAGGCTGAACTCAATCTCACAGAGTCCACCTGCTTCTGCCTCCTGAGTGCTTGGATTAAAGGTGTGCACCATCATGCCTGGCACTACCAAAATTTTCAAGAAAAATTGTCGGGGCTGGAGAGATGGCTCTGAAGGTAAGAGCACTGGCTGTGCTTGCAGAAGACCAGGGTTCGACTCACAGCACCCACATGGCAGCTAACAACCATCCGTAACTCCAGTTCAAAGGGATCTGATGCCCTCTTCAGTTCTCCATGGACACTGCATGACACAAGTGCACTTACATGCAGGCATAAAAGTCATAAACCTAATATGAAAATAAATAAATCAAAACTTTTTAAAAAAGAAAAATTGTGGAAATTTTCTCTAGTAATCACTGAGAATAGAAAACTGCCCTCTGGTTTTTAACTTTCCCAGAATAATACTTCTCTGAAGGAGAGTGGGGCAAACAAAGGGATTTTTCAGAAAGTTCTAATAGCTTAATTGTATGCATTCTATTCTTTACCTTACTCTGGAGTCAAGTATAAAAAAGAAAATTTATTCAGAGTCTTATACTGCAGTGGCTCCTGTAAGCACTGAAAATAGATGCTTCAAAGGTGGTAGCTGTTTTGAAAACCCTAGCAATGTCCTAATTTTACTTGACAGCTACTACCTGTAATTCATGAAAAAAGAAAGCAGTATTACAGTTTGAAATCTATCATAAACTTCTTTTCTACAATGTTCTTTCCTAGAAGAAACCTTTAAAAAGTTATAGCTACCAGCTATTTTTATGGAAAAGGAAAAAGAGGTGGAGATTTCTAGTACTGAAAAGTATTTAGTGAATCCCATGAAAGTGTAAAGCACCAGCAGAGTTGTCCTGGGATGGAGAAGAGGCACTGCACTGTGACAGGGAACCTGCCAGCAGGGGCCGGGGAGGATGGAAGGAACAAGCCTGAGCCCCTGGGTGACAAGAAGGGTAGGCTGAGGACATTGATGACAGCCATATCCCTGGCTATCTCTGTGGGCACAATGCCCTCAGCAGCCCCAGGGAATAAGGAGGTCTCTCATCACTCACACTCAAGGATGACTAAATAAAGCTCCACTGGGGTACCCACAATATAGGCTCCAGCCTGTACACTGACTTCAGGCTTCCTGTCAGGCTGCCCTGGGGACAGCTGTGCTAAAGGCTCTCACTGCATCATTTCCCATCTGTCATCATTCACCTGGAATGGCTTCATGAGCCGTTAAGACCACGCTGATGATGGGTTTCTTGGCTCCCGAAAGCTGCCTTGCCTCCTTTCCTGAGGGGATTTTCTGAAGTTTCTCTGTTTTCTGGGTCCGAGGTCTTTTTGGAGCCTTTTCTCGATCATCTTCTTTGTATTTCTTTTCCAGTTCAAGGTCTGACTCATTACCTAGAAAACAAATATAAAGATGATAAACTATCTTCTTATGTCAGTGACAGAGTTGATGAGCAAATCTTCATAGTCTGTGTTTTGTCGTGCTTTCTTATAAACCCCAGGACCACCGGCTCAGGGGTGGACCCTCCCACAGTGGGCTGGGCCATCCCACATCACTCAGTGGTGAAGAAAACGCCTCACAGACATGCTCAGAGGCCAGTCCAATAGAGGAAACTCCCCAGTGGAGGGTCCTTCTTCCAAAATGTGTCAAGTTGATACCTGAAGCTAACCAGCACAGGCACCCAGGGGACCTAAAGGTTCCCATCTGTACCTCTGGAAGGCAGTAGTGAATCACTGAAGCCATCAAAGCCAGGAACAGCTGAGCTGGGCTAAAGCTTCACATGTATGCCAAAGCATTCAGATGTACAAATGCATCAGTCACAAACTTACAACAGCAGTCGTCACAGGGTAGCCTGGGCATTAGTCTAAGGTTATCAGTAAAGAACAGAGATGTACCCTCTGGAATGCATGGTACTGGAGAGTCCTGGTGGGGAGGGACAGAGGGAAGGAAGCTGGGGAGAACTTGGCAGAATCACAAAGTCTGAAACAACTGACCTGAGAATCAAGACTCAGAATTTATAGCAAGAGCACTGGAAGCAATTCCACACATCCCTGTACCAGACACGAGTGTAGGGACAGACAAGAGGGATGCAGGACGTGTGGGCAGATAGGTGAGCATGAGATGAGGGGCTGGATAGTGCAGGAAGGCGGGGTTATCAGGGAGGAGCGACTGGCAGGGAAGGGAAGAAACCAGGGGAGGCAGCAGAGGTGCCTTCAGTGCTTCCTGAGATGCAGGTCGGCCTCAGCCAGCCTGACCCGGTGCTCAGCGAACTACAACAGAGAACCAGAGGGTGGATGCTGGCTGAGGTGAAGCCAACCGAGCAGAGTGATCAGCACTTGCAGTTTCTATGTCCCATAAACCAACACGGTGCTTGCCCTCTCTGAGACCTGAAGGAAATAGTCTTAGATTAGATTTTAACATAAGAATATCAATACTGAGTATATTAACATCAACCACAAGAGTAAAAAGGGAGAAACAGATCATGAATCAGACCGGCACACTGCTCCCCAAGACCCAAGGAGGACCAACACTACAGCGATACCTTCACACGCGTGGACCCCTATAAACCACACGACAGGACACAGCACGTAGTCGCCTAAGGCTGCTGGCACAGCCTATATTCTGCAAAGCTTGCAACACATCGTGTCTCACAGCAATCACCGCCTTATTTTATTTTTTGGTGCCTATAACAAAAGCTTTTCCAAAGGTCTACAAATTGTGTCACAGAAGTCTTTTTGCTGCCTAGATATTGGGTGATACCCATGCATAAATAACTACAGCAGGATATATCGAATGCTATAAAAAAGGAGAACAACATTTAATGGAATGTTTTTGCTTATAAAATGATGCCTCAGCTTTATAAGAGAATTCACCATGGAATGCAATTCAACACAAGGGTGATATGCCAGGAATAGATATGTTGACATAAAAAAAAGGGCCTGAGAATCTGAACTTACGATCAACTTAACCTGGTTAACAGCGTGAATCAACAGCAAAGAAACAAGTGCACACTGCGAGCCGGGGTAATGAGAAGAGATGAAGAGGTCCCATGGCTGCAGGGGACGAACAGGAGCAAACTCTGCTGCTGGCATAACATGCACACAGCAGAAATGAGGGCAAGTGGGCGGCAGCTGGGAGTGGGTGAAGGTTTGGAGGCCACACAGATTAGGAAACAATAAAGAGGGGCTGGAAAGAGGGCTCAGCAGTGGGGATGGAGTGATGGCTCCACAATTGAGAGCACTGGCTGCGGGCTGGAGAGATGGCTCAGTGGTTAAGAGCACTGGCTGCTCTTGCAGAGGACCCAGGTTCAATTCCCAGCACCCACATGGCAACTACGAACCATCCTTAACTCCAGTTCCAGGGGAATCCGAAGCCCTCTTCTGACCTCCATGGCATTGCACGACATGGGTGCACTCACATACATGCAGGCAATACACTCATACAAACAAAATAAAAATAATAAAATATACATTTAAAAAAAAGAGCACGGGCTATTCTTGCCGAAGACCCGGGTTTGAGTCCCAGCACCCACATGGTAGCTAACAACTGCCCATAATTTGAGTTCCAGGGGATCTGACACCCTCTTCTGTCTTCTACGGGCCTTGCACAACACAGGTGCACTTACATACATGCAGGCAATACATTCATACACATAAAATAAATTATATATATATATATATATTAAAAAAAATGGCTCAGCAGTTAAGAGCACTGGCTGCTTTTCCAGAGGACCCAGGTTTGGCTCCCAGCATCCACATGGCCACTCACAACCATCTGTAACTCCAGTTCCAGATGATCTGACGCCCTCTTCTGGCCTCCACAGGCATTACATGCACATGTACATGGTATACAGACATACATGCAGGCAAAACACTAATACACATAAAATAAAAATAAATTTATAAAAATAAAAGAAACAATAGAGTTGGAGTCATTTCCAGCAATTGGGAGGCAGAGGCAGGCATATTTCTGTGAGACCAAGGCCGGCCTAGTTTATATAATGAATTCCAGGCCTGCTGGGGCTATAGGGAGACCCTGTCAAGAAAGAAAGGAAGGGGGGGGAGAAGAGAGAGAGAGAAAAATGAAAGAAAATAAATAAATAAACCTGAGTTGAGTTGGTCTAGGCAGAGAAGAGAGGACCAGATAAGATTGCCCCTCACCCTAACAACTGTAGTCACTGCTCCCCAAGCTCCTACTCCCTCCTGGCGGCTGCTATGGAGTCCCATTGTTGGGATGCACCTGTGTTATTTTCTCATCACTGTGCCCAAACACCTGACAGAAGCAACTTGAGGGATGAACGGTTTGCTTGGGTCAACAGTTCAGAAGGAACAGTCCATCACACAGAGGAGGCGTGGCAGCAGGGCCAGCTCTTGTACACACACAGCAGTGGAGGTGTAAGGTGGCTGATTGCATGGCTATGGCAGTCAGGATGAAGAGAATCCTAACCAGCAGCTGTAACATCAAAGGCTGACCTGATCCCCTAGTGCCCCACTTCCGCCAGCCTTGCCTCCCACCCAAAGGTGTCACAACTAGACATTCCCAACTCCCACCCTCTGTAGGAATGCCACCTCCATTTGTAGGAATTGGGATGCTGCTCCAGGCACCATAGGAACCTGAGTGCCAGGACTCCAGGACCAGGACTTGGCCAGTGGGGCCTGGAAGAAGGGTGCCAGGGACTTCCCGAAGCACTTTTCTTCCCTGATAAGCAAATACTGCCCATAGATACAAGTAGGTCCACTGTGTGGAACTGAAGCAAGTACAATGAGATGCCAAGCAAAAAGCCCACACCGCCACCTTGATGCTCACATAGGAAGAGATGGATCCTGAAACTGAATGACCCAGCAGTGCCACTGAGTCAGCCCTGCACTAAAGACCCCAGGCGCCTTGTTCTGTGAGCGTTCTTCTCATACTTAAACTGGGGTTTTTTTGGGGGGGTGGGTTTTTTTTGTTTGTTTTTGTTTTTTTGTGGTTTTTTGTTTGTCTTTTTGAGACAGGGTCTCCCTGTAGCCCAGCTGACCTGGAACTCACTATGTAGACCAGGCTGGCTTTGAACTCACTGAGATCCACCTGCCTCTGCCTCCCTAGTGCTGGGATTAAAGGTGTGAGCCACCATCTTTAGCCTTGGCCTGGCCATCTAAGGACACTGGCTGGAACTTCAGGTTTAGAGAGAAAACCAGAGCTGGCTGTGATGAGAGACAGCCTGTTGGGGCTGCAAGAGCCAGGATTACATAGGGACTTCAAAAGTGATGCCCTGTCCCTCGCCCTCATCCTCTCTCTATTTTCTTCCTGTGGGCAGTTTCTGGCATGACCGCCAACCCCCACTGTAAGCAGGAGACCAGCTAGAACCTGGTACCCTGGGGAGCTGAGGAAGCAGGGCTCAACAGAAATGGCTAGAAATGGGGGGGTAACAGAGAAGGGAGCTGTGCAGGAGGGGACGCCAAGGTCTGGTGGGGGGCCTCTGCCTCCCTAGTGCTGGGATTAAAGGTGTGAGCCACCACACCTGGCTAAACTTTTTTTTTTTAAACTGGTGCCTCTAAGAATCCATGCCATCCTCCACCTCAGCCCCAGAGTGAACCGTTCCAAATCTAATCAATTGTTATATGACACTATTCCTGGGGAGATGTGAACAAGGTCCACCCACCTCAGATGGGAAACTGGAACAGACCAGAGTAAGGATACCACCAAAGCCCAGCTTGGTGAACCAGTGAGTTTTACTATAGGAGCAGAAAAGAGTCAAAGATAGCTGTGTCACCAAAACACACCCCAGCATGGGTGACAGCTCAGGAAACCTGGAGCCACTGCACACCTGCAGGCAGCTCAGCAGGCTGAAGAGCATCCATTCTAGGAGGCACCAGTGCTCTGGGTTTCTTTCAGACACCAGGGCAGGTCTCTGCCTCTTCCAGGTGGCTTGGCTGGTCTGAGCCTCCTCTAGGAGGCTTAGATTACCTGAGTGTCTCTCATCAATCATTAGGACTTCTACTTGCATGGGGAGAAGGGTGCCCTGTGAACATGGTCGATTTCAGGGACTTTCTGAAGCTACAGAAGGTGTTATCTCAGAGGAAATTGCTACAACATCAAACCGCTCTCCTATCAAACCCTTCAAGGACCACCTTCCTGTTCCATTAGGAGAGAGTATGAAAGTCCTCAAGATGTGCCATACCTAGCACCCATCACCATCAAGGCTTGACTCCCAAGCAATACCCTCACATGAGCATTTCTCCCTGATACTTCTGACAACACAGACCACAGGTTGATCGAGCACCCATGCTGTGTTCAGTCGCTGAACTTATGCACTTTCTATGATCCACCATCACAGCCTGAGGGTGGTTTTCCCAACATCTCATGTACTGAAGTCTCAATCTCCAGTAACAGTGTTGAGAGACAGCAGTGAAAA